GGTGTAGGCTTTGCTCAGCAAGAAGTGGCAGGTCCTGCTGGGGGGCGAGGAAGAGCAAGAGGGAAGAGCTCTCAGGAACGCTAGTGGCAGCAGCCAGGGCCTTCCTGAGTGCCTAGCCTCACTCTGCCCAGGCAATGGTGTTGGCGATGTGTGTGAAGATGACTTTGACAATGACGCAGTGGTCGACCCCCTGGATGTGTGCCCTGAAAGTGCGGAGGTAACCCTCACGGATTTTCGGGCCTACCAGACTGTTGTCCTGGATCCTGAGGGTGATGCTCAGATTGACCCAAACTGGGTCGTGCTCAACCAGGTACTAGGGCAGTGGGCTGGGCAGGTACTGTCAGACCAGACCACCAGAAGGGGCTGCGCACCTGGATCAGGGCTTTCTTCTTTACTGCACACCACTAGGGCATGGAAATTGTTCAGACCATGAACAGTGATCCCGGCCTGGCAGTTGGTATGTAAAGGACACCCAGTTCGATAATTTCCACAGAGGAATCCTATAGGGGCAGAGAGTGGGGGGCATATGCAGCAGGCATCCCTTCCACCCCCCACCCCACAATGGGCCACCAGAAGCTTTGCTGCCCCTGACCTTGATCCCACTCCCCACCCCCCCCAGGATATACGGCCTTCAATGGTGTGGACTTTGAAGGGACCTTCCATGTGAACACAGTGACTGATGATGACTACGCAGGCTTTCTCTTCAGCTATCAGGACAGCGGCCGCTTCTATGTTGTCATGTGGAAGCAAACAGAGCAGACCTACTGGCAGGCCACACCTTTCCGGGCTGTTGCCCAGCCTGCACTACAGCTCAAGGTCCCACAGCTGCCCAGATTCTCCCATTCAGGGCCCTCTCCTAAAGCCACCTCATGCTAACCCCAGGGCCTCCCCCACTGTCTGAGTGGGCACCCTCTCACCCAGACCACTGGCCTGGAGGTTGGCTCCCTGGGGCTCCACAACATTCCCCTGACCACCTTGACTTCCTTTTACACCTGCACTTACCAACCTCTTCTCTCCTTGCTGGGGTCCTGTGGTTGATCTACTGTCTTTGGCAACGCCCCGCAGGCAGTGACTTCAGTGTCTGGCCCAGGTGAACACCTCCGGAATGCCTTGTGGCATACTGGCCACACCCCAGATCAGGTGCGACTGCTGTGGACTGACCCACGGAATGTGGGCTGGCGTGACAAGACTTCCTACCGCTGGCAGCTGCTGCACCGGCCTCAAGTTGGCTACATTCGGTGAGAGGAGGGCCTGAGGGCTCCTGAGGGACTGCAGGCCCAGTGTTGCCTTTGCCTTTAGCTGGGACTTACCAGTGACCTTCTCTCTACTCAGTTCTTTGGTGCCAGGGGCTAGGCCTGGGCCATTTCTCTCCATCTCCCCTTTCACCACAGGCTGCCCGCCTTAGCCCAGCTGTCCTCCTGACATCAGGCAGCCTGGGCTCTGGTGCCAGTGTTGCCAAATATCTACAGGCAACATTGGGCAAGTCCTTCCTTTTTGGTGCTCCATTTTTTCCCCTCTGTAAGACGAGGGCACCTCTGGAATGCCAGGCCAGTCTGGGGAGAGGCATATAATATCCAGAGCCTCCACTGGTACAGCCCAGAACTTGCCTCATCAAAGTGTCTGACCAGAAGGGATCATCATTTACAGAAGAGTAAACCAAGGCCCAGACTTCACACCTTTTCACAGCAGAGCTGGGGCTTCTCACTTCAGCACTCTGTCCACAATTTTGCATGTCCTAGTTGGTGGTGATGACAGGGGAGGGAGGGGAATGGTCCAGAGTCCAGGGACTTGGGTTGGTTCCCCTTTAAGGTGCCTGGAACTGCGGGGTGCCAGGGCAGAGGATAAGGGGGGGGTGGACAAGAGCCTGGGAAGCGGGTGACTTCACCCCCCAGCCCATTGTGCTCATCGTCATGGCAACCCAATCCTCGCTTGGAATGCGGCTGGTGCTTTGAGATGCAAAGGGGGCTGGACAAAGAGCCAGGGGCCCCAGGCCTGAGAAAAGCACCCCCCTTCCCTCCCCTTTCCTTCCTCCCTCTCCCTTCCTCCTTTCTCTCTCAAGCCCGGTGAGCTCAAGGGGGGTTGGCAGTGAACAGGGCCCTGGCCAGGGTGGCACGGTGCCCACTGGCACCCCAACACCAGTGGACACCCCTATCCTGGACAGAGTGAAGCTCTATGAGGGTCCCCAGCTAGTGGCAGATTCTGGGGTGATCATTGACACGTCCATGCGAGGGGGGCGTCTTGGTGTCTTCTGCTTCTCTCAAGAAAACATCATCTGGTCCAATCTCCAATATCGATGCAATGGTGAGACTCTAGATCAAGATCAGCCTGACCTCTCATGCCCTCATGGGAAAGTCACATTTTCTGACCTTGATCATTTCTTCTTCCTCAGACACAGTGCCAGAGGACTTTGAGCCATTCCGGAGGCAGCTGCTCCAGGGAAGAGTGTGAAGAGGAGGCCACCAGATTCAGAGTCCTGATTTTAGACCTTTTGGCCTTGGGGGTCCATTCTGGAGACCCTGGGGTCTAATCTACAGCCCCTCAGCCAAACACAGACCCTCCTCTGGCACCTGCCAGGAGTTCAGCCCCGTAGGGGTGGTGACCCCACTGTTCAGGAGATGGGGATGTTTTCAAGGGGTATTTCTCAGGCACTAACCCCAGGAAAGATAACAGCACATTGCCATAAAGTCCCAGCTGTTTTCTAAGCCAGTGCAATTGCTTATTTTAGGGATTCTGGGATAGTGTGGATTACAGGAAGGAAACTGAGGGAGGTGAGGGAGAAGGCTGGTTGGAAGGAAGTTGAGATCTAGAGGAAGTTTGGCTGAGTGTGGGTGCAGGTGAAGGATGGGGGTGGGGGGGTTAGGTGAAAGATGAGGTGCTGGTTGGAGGATGGCTAACGTCCTCCCAGCCCCCTACTCACGGTGGCAGTGGCGACACTCCAGTCTGTCTTAGATCAGCCGGGATCGGGAGCCAGGAGGGCTGTAGCGACCCCGCTCGGGGTGAGGGGGAGGCCGGGAGGCCGGGGGGTCGGAGGGGCCGGAGGCCGGGACGAGTGCAATATTGGCGGGGGAAAGAACAACACTGCACCGCGTCCCGTCCCTCCCGCCCGCCCGGGGCCCGGGATCCCGCTCCCCACCGCTTGAAGCCGGACCAGCTGAAGAGTCGGGGGCACGCTGAGGAGCTGGGTTCACCTTGGAGGCCAAAGAGATTTGGCGCCCAGTAGAGGGTGAAAGGGAGACTATAAGGGGGAGGGGGTGAAGGGAGAAGGGGAGACCGCGGTATCCCGAAAGGCCGCTTTCCGACTCCCGGGCGTTGCGCGCGCTTGCTCTTTAAATACTCAGACTGCGCGGCGCGGAGCCGTCGCCATGGTGACGCGTGTCCCAGCAACCGAATTGAATGGCTGCTGCCAGGCAACGCTGAGGACTGAAGTTTTGGGGCCGCCCACCTAGATACTCGCGTTTCTCTAGCCTGCTTGGGGGGGATGGGGGGCTTCCCCTGCGCGCTGACGTAAAGGGCCCGCGGTCCGCGCTAGTGAATCTCTTGGCCGCGCAAAGCAGCGCCAACTACGCTGCGCCCAGGAGCTGGTCCATAGCTTCAGACTCGGCTTCTCTCCACTCCTGCCACATCCAAGTGTTTTTAAAGTTTGTCAGTCTGTATTCATTGAGGCTAAAAACTGTTTTTCTAAATAAGACGTAACTGCTTCCATTGGCCTAGACCACAACCCAGGGGGACCCCCGCATGGGGACAGATAACCTGAGCTCCACGTGCCACTATGGCGCCATTCTGCCTTTCGAGATTTCTCGGGATTCACAAATTACGCACCCTCACATACAGTTTTGACCCCCATCATGGGCCTACCTGCCCCAAATAACCCTCTGCTCCCCAAAGGATAGTTTGTGCCCCCAAATGCCTGTTCCGTCGCCCACCCTACTCTCTGCTTCCTAAATACTAAAGTAACCTGTACCATTGCCCCTCCCACATTCCGATGTCCTCTCCTACATACCTGGGTGCCCCTTCCCCGGACCTCAGGTCCCCACCCACTTAGCGCCATTTCTTCCAGACACCGCCGCCACGCGCCCCAGAGTCCCCTCTTAAAGTTCCCAGCCCTTCAGAGGTGCAGTACTTTCCTCCCCTTTTCTGTCCAAACCACTGACTCTTCTCGCCGGGCCCCAGCCCTTCCCAGGCTCTGTCTGTCCCCGCTTCAGGGAGTGCCGCCCAATGTCCTCTCCCCCGACCCCGGCAGCCCCTCAGCCTCCTGGGTCACGCCCCGCGAGGCTACCGGTGACCACTAGAGGGCAGGAGAGCTCGGACGGCGACGCCGGTTGGCCGCCGCTACAAGGTGGACAGGAAGGAAAGACCTTAGGGCTCGGCGGAACCCTATTTCGCTAAGTGGAAATTTCTTCCCCCGCCCCCTTCTCGGGAGAACGCCAGGAACTCAGGCCGCCGTAAAGCCCGGCAGGGGCGGGGACTGTGGGTTTCGGGGTAGAACTGCGAGTGGAACGGGTCAGGGGGCGGTTGGAAGGGGGCGGCTATTCCGGGAAGTGGCGGGGTGGGGGGTCCACAAGGAGCACCTAGTCCACCCATTATCAAGCCTTCTAATTTCTTCTAGCCCCAAGAGTGGGCCTTCAAGGGACCCAGTGAGAATGGGGACGCGGAGGGGGCCCCGAGGGTGAACTTCCCCGGCCTTGCAGTCCAGGACGTTGACCTAGCCCACTTTCTCTGTTCCTTTTCTCACCTTGTTGCCCTGGGGCAGAAGCCAGAGCCTTGGGGACCCAGGTTCCCCCGACTCCCCCCACCGCCTTCTGGAGTCAGGGAGTGGTTGGTGAAAGGGGGGAGGCCCGTCGGAGAACAAACAAGTTGTCAGAGGGTTGAGTGATTGGGGCCTCCGTACCCCTCCTGAGGGGCCAGGAATGGTTGGGGAGGAGGAGGAAGAGGTAGGGAAAGGGGGAGGGGGCGGGGTTTGTCCCCTGTCACCTGCCCTGGCCGAGCCTAGGGCGGGCGGGGGACCGGTATAAAGCAGAAGGCGCCTGCGCCCGCTCCACCTCTCTCAGCGCCGGCCTGAGGCTGATCGGCCCCTTCCCCACCCGGTTCACCACCATGACACCAGGCTTCCAGGCCCCCTTCCTCCTCCTGCTGCTACTCTTCCTGGTGCTTACAGGTGAGGGGCACAGGTGTGGAGGCGGCTGGTCGGCCCAGGCGTCTTCCCAGTCTTTCTGTGGGTTTTGTTTCCTAGCGAATGGCACCCCAAGAGGCCAAAGTTGCGGACAGGGGTGGCCCAGTCTGTACCAGAATGAAGGAGAGGAGCTAAGGACAGGCTGAGAAGAGATGGCCCCCAGGAGAGAGGGTGCCAGGGCCAGGCTAATGTCCTGAGAAGCAGCCTGGGGTGGCGGGAGGGGAGAGTCCTGGGAGGTAAGTCTTAAGAGTGGAAAATAGGACAAGCTAGAAGCAGAGGAGAGTGGAAAGAGAAAAGGAAGCTGCCAGGCAGGAAGAAGAAATTGGCCCCACTCCCCATATCTTTCTCTGGCATTACTTCTTCAGATTCCAGAGGATGTATTTTCCCATTGTTCTGATTTGTCCCCTACCTGGCTCTGTGACCTCAATTTCTCACACCTGTCACTCTGGCAGCCTATAGCAACTCACTAAATACTGCCGGCCCCCAAGACACCCCGTCCCTGGCCACCAGCCTGACCTCAAGCCCGGCCACCACTCCACCGCACCAAGGTGCCCTATCCTGGGCCACCAACCCGGCCACCGCTCTGCTGCACCAAGGCACCACATCCCCCGCCACCAGCATGGCCTCAAGCCCGACCACCACTCCGCCGCACCAAGGCACCCCATCCCCGGCCACTGCTCCACCGCATGAAGGCACCCTGTTCCCCACCACCAGCCCAGCCACCACTCCGCCGCACCAAGGCACCACGTCCCCAGCCACCGGCCCGGCCACCGCTCCGCCGCACCAAGGCACCCCGTCCCCAGCCACCGGCCCGGCCACCGCTCCGCCGCACCAAGGCACCCCGTCCCCAGCCACCGGCCCGGCCACCGCTCCGCCGCACCAAGGCACCACGTCCCCTGCCACCGGCCCGGCCACTGCTCTGCCGCACCAAGGCACCACGTCCCCGGCCACTGCTCCGCCACACGAAGGCACCCTGTTCCCCACCACCAGCCCTGCCTCAAGCCCGGCCACCGCTCCACCGCACCAAAGCTCCCCGTCCCCGGCCACCAGCCCGGCCTCAAGCCCCGCCACCCCTCCTCACCAAGGCACCCTGTCCCTGGCCACCAGCCCGGCCTCAAGCCCAGCCACCGCTGTGTCACACAAGGCCATCTCTGCCAAGACTTCCATAACCCCAGTTGACAAGAGCACTCCATCCTCAGTTCCGAGCCACTACTCAGATACTCCAACCACCCCTGCCAGACACGGTACTAGGACTACTTCCAGCAGCACTAAGCACAGCTTAGTACCTTCCACCTCCACTCATAGGACTTCTACCCAGTTGTCTATTAGGATCTCCTTCTTTTCTCTATATTTTTACATTTTGAACTGGCAGTTTAACTCTTCCCTGGAAGATCCCAGCACCAACTACTATCAGAAGCTGCAGAGAAACATTTCTGAATTGGTGAGTGTCAGTCTCCCCTCTGGCGCGCTCAGCCGCGGCAGCTTTCCAAACCGCTCAGACCTGTTGCATCAGGCCTTAGCCCTCTCCCTCTCATCCCAGTTTTTGCAGATTTACAAACAAGAAGGTTTTCTGGGACTCTCTAGTATCAAGTTCAGGTACAATTCTGGGTGTGGACTATGGGGGTGGCGGGTGTGGACCGTGTGGGGCAGTGGATGCTGTTATGATGTGGGGAGGGCCTGGACTTCTGGCTGGGGTACGCGCTGACCCAGAAGCTGGGATCTGTGGCTGAGCTGCCCATTTCCCTGTGACCAGGCCAGGATCTGTGGTGGTAGAATCAGCTCTGGCCTTCCGAGAGGGTATCACCAGTGCCAACATCGTGCAGACACATCTTGTCCAGAGTGCAGCAGAAGCAGCCAGATATGACCTGGTCATCTCAAACATTAGCGGTAAGGCCCCTCCCCTGCTGCTGGCCGGCCCTAAGCCTCCAGGGCCCCGTCCCCTCTAGCATCTGGGTTTCGGCGCTTCCCCTTGGTGCTAGTAGGGGGAGGGTCACCTCTTTAGGGAGACTCCCTGACCACTGCTTTTCCTTTCAGTGAATGACATGCTATTTCCTTCTGCCCAGTCTGGGTCTGAAGTTCCAGGCTGGGGCATCGCCCTGCTGGTGTTGGTCTGTGTTCTGGTTCTGCTGGCCATCATCTATCTCATTGCCCTGGTAAGTGCTCAGCCTCTGGCCTTGACCGGAGTCCTCCTGACAGAAGGAACTCCAAGGCCCCTCATAACCTCGTCTCCCCAGGCTGTGTGTCAGTGCTACCGAAAGAAGTGTGGGCAGCTGGACATCTTTCCAACTCGTGACGCCTACCATCCCATGAGCGAGTACCCCACCTACCACACCCATGGGCGCTACGTGCCCCCTGGCAGTACCAGACGGAGACCCTATGAGGAGGTGAGGTTGGGCCCAGGCCTCACAGGCAGAGGGAGGTGGAAGCTTTGGCTGGGCAGGGGTTCCGAAAGGGTACTTGGAAAGCCCAAATAACTTAGAGGAGGTGAGAGGGGCTGTAAGGAAGCAATGGAGGACCTGGCAGGGATGGGGGTGGAGGTCAGAAGAGTTCTGGCGGAAAGTTCTGGAGAGGAGAGCACGGGAGACCGGACCTCAAGAGGGAGCGCCCCGCCCACCAGCATTTCCAAAACAGCATTCACTGCTCACTCAGCCGCCTGGAGGTGGAATGGGTGGGGCGCTGGGCCCTCGGAGCCCTTCATGCGGGACTCCCCAGCAATGACTTGGCTCCTAAGAATGGAGAGTAGGTCGAGAAAGGCTGGTAGGAGGGGAGGAAGACGTGTCACTGGGCCAGGTGAGTCTTGGGGCTGGTGGGGTCCTTGGGAGTCTCAAGGAGTCCAAGACTCCTCCTCCCTCTTTCCTCTCCTGGCCTTTCAGTCCAGGACCTAGTAAATAATTACTTCAGTCACCTGGGGCTGGAATGCCATTCCAGGTGGGGGACGGGGAAGTTTCCTTTTCTTGACCCTGTTTTGACTCTGCCTGGGAATTTTCTTCTCCCAGTTTTACACAGATGCACACACACTTCCTTGGGCTGGAAGAGCAAAGAATGGAGGGAGAAAGGGGGAAGGAGGAGCAGGGGGGCTGGTTAGAGCCAAGGGGAGGGAGTGCAGGGGAGCAGAGAGGGAGCAGCCCTGTTTACAGTCACCTGGTGGCTGGCACTGGAGGCAGGTGCTGTCTCCGAATTAACCCTCTGAGAGCCAGTCAGGCTTCTGGACCTATCGCACCCTAGACCTGCTACTGGGGTGCCATTCAGGAGCCCTGGGGCGGTAGCTTCTCCCAGGAAGGCTCCTTCCCTTCATCCTGGATTCCTTTTCTCCCACCTAGGTTTCTGCAGGCAACGGTGGAAGCAGCCTCTCTTACACAAATCTAGCAGCCACTTCAGCCAACTTGTAGGGGCACATGGCCTGCTGAGCATCCAGCCAGCGCCAGCTGCCTCCCTAGGATCTTCACTGCCAGATCCCCCACAGCCCCCCGTTTGGGCTGGTGAGCTGGGAATTCAGGAGGGCTGCTCACAGGCCCCACCAAGCCCCCTAACCCATCTCAGCCCTGGTGAAGCCCATGCCCTGGAGGACCGGCCCAGAAAGCCCTGGGATGAGAGTGGGAACCTGAACATAGCTGAATAAAATGTGGGCCTCCTCTGCTCTGACTGCCAACCTCTGATCTGTCATCTGTGACCTGTATGTAGGAGGTATGGTCACCATGTGTGTGTGAGGGGCCTCTGTGGGAGAAGACAAGGAGGGAAAGAGCAGGGCTCATCTGAGAAGCAGGAGGCATGGGGAGATGACACTGGGCCGCAGGAGTGGCTGGTGGAGGAGCTCCAGTCACCTCTGCCTGATCCTTGGTGGCACAAGAGGAAGCAGGAAATGAAACCTTTGTGGCTTGCACAGGCCAGCGTGACCTGTCCCCACCTGTGTGCCTGTGGCTCTCCCCTTCTCATTCTCAGACCTGGGTTTCACTTGGGCTGAGCACTGGCGGTGGCTCTCCCCTTGGCACAGTGCCCCCAGGCAGCTCTATTCTTAGCTGCCGGGGTGTGAAGTAGGTCCTCAGGCAGCGATAACATTGGCAGAGTCAACATGGGCATGATAAGTGTGGTGTCAGATCCGGGGGCTGGCACCAGGCCAGTTCCCTTGCTGACCTGCAGGCTGCCCCCACCTGTCCCTGGGCTCTGGGGTCTGCTCCCAGTGCACCCTGGGAATGAGGAAGTGGTTCTGGTTCCCTGACCCTTTCAGGCGCGGGCACAGTGCCTGCCCTCCCAACCACATTCCCTAGGGCTTGGGTGCTGTCTCCTCCTTGATGCCCAGTTGGGGAGCTGACGCAAGCAGCCAGCAGAGCAATGTGCCCCCTGGTGGCCGTGGGCAGCTAGGGCCTGGGTCGGGTACCTGTGTGGCAAGAGGCTGGGGAACCTTCTCCCTCAGGTGCCACATCTGCCGGGCACCCCTCCTCTGAGCACTAGCAGAATGCCCTGGATCCTTCCCAACTGGCCACACGCAGCCAGAAACTAAGAGGAATGCTCAGGCTCAGGAAATGCAGAGATGTGCCTGCATCACAGTTTATTGTTTATAAACCATGACAATAACAGCTGTGGCTTGGCACAGGCCTAGCAGTGCCCACTGCAGGGGGGCAGCCGCAGGTACCAGAGACCATGCCTGGCCCAACCCAGTGGGGACATCCACCCTCCACTGGGGTCCCAGGGGAGGCTTGGCACACTGGCATAGGTGCAGGACAGGCAAAGCATGCAGAGGGAGAAGAGGGGCAAAAGAGGCATGCGGCTGAGGGGTGCAGACACCCAAATAAATAAAGCAGGACGATAGGGGCCCCTTCCCCTCACCAGGGAGTGCCTGGGCAGGAGTCCTGCTGAAAAGCCTGTCTGCCCCAAGGCTGTAGTCCGGAATGGGGCAGGGAGCTTGGCAGGGCAGAGGGCAGAGCTGGGACATGCCCAGTGTCCCATGGGCCTTCCCTCCCCACCGGCCTGGGGGACACCTCGGGACAATGATGGGGAAGGGGCTCTCGCCATGGCTTGGTAAGATGCCAAGAGCAGGATGTGGGGCAGAGACTTGGCAGTGGGTGGGGCCTGGGTTAACAGGCAATGGAGAGAATGGGGGACATCCAGAAAAATGAGCAGAGGAGAGCCCCTTGATAAAGAGAAGACCCTGGGAAGGCATAGGCGTAGTGTAAGGGAAAGTTCAACATGGTAGGAGTAGTTTGGGGGAGAAGCTGCCGGAGGAATAACCCGGCTCCCGGAGGCTTAGAGGGCCAGGGCCCAGGACGGGCCTGAAAGGGTCAGTCCAGCTTGGCAAAGCCGCCAATGGTGACCTTCCTCTCGGGCTTAGTGCCCACGGGCTCCTGAAGCTGCACTGCACCACCCCCAATGAAGCAAAAGGCAGGGCACACAGGCCCCGAGCAGTCCAGGGGGCACTCCAGGAGCCCGCGGAAGGACACAGCATCCAGGAAGGAAACCCGGCCCCGCTCGTAGTCCAGGCAGATGCCCAGGCGTGGCGGCAGGGGCACTGTGCAGCTGGCTGCCGGGCCATCCCTCCCTGTCAGGCCTGCGTTTGAACTGGCCCCGGATCCCAACAGGATCTTGCCCATGCCAATGGTTAGGAAAGCGAAGGGCGGCGACGCCTCCACGGTGGCATCCTCGGCACCGCTGTCATGCCCACTGTCCGGGTCGTACCTGCGGGAGCGGGCATTGGGGAGGACGTTGGGGGGGTGGAGCAAGGCAGCAAGGGACAGGGTACCAGAGGGCTGAGATGGCGGAAGGATGGGATGTGGGCAAGAAGTGTTTGAAAGGATCGGTTTGGGGACTGAGGAGAAAACATGGGAGAGACGGGGTTAGAATAGAGGGCTGGGGGTTTGGTTTGGTGGGAAAGAGGAAAAGAAAGCACATTGGCAAGAGAGTTGTCATGGGGAAAGGAATAACAACATCTTAGTAAAGCACATTGAAGAAATGTGCTCCGGGAGACTAGAAGGTGGTGAGGAAGATGGTGTTTTGGATATCAAGCTGGGAGGGTCAGAGAATGCTGGGAGGTGGGGTAAGGGACCACAGTGCTGGGGAGAGGGGACAGCAGGGAAAGGGGGTTGGGAGGGAGATGAGGGCAAATGCCACAGATGAGGGAGGTGAGAGGGATGCAGGGATGGGAAGGATGGGTTAGGAGGGAACTGGTACTGGGAAGGAAGCATTTGGAAGAAATGGGGTGTTGGACCCAGTGTCAGGAGAAAGGATTGGGGGAGAAAACAGGACAGTGACAAACAGGATGTTGGGGTAAGAGGCAGGAGATGGAAAGTATAGGGGGAGAATTTTGGGACGTTGAGAAAAGATGTGGCAGGATGTATGGGAGAGAAGAGGTTTTGTGGAGAAGGGATGTGGGAAATGGGGTATAGGGAGAAGGACATGGAGGCTTGAGGCGATGGGTAAGAGTCATGAGCGACAGATGGAAGGATGTGGGGATGGGTCCCACCTTCTGTCATTTGCTTCCCCAGCCATACTGGAAAAATCAATCCTCAAAGCCCACATCTGCCCTGGCCACAGGATGCCAGTCTGACTTCCAGGCTCCTGCTGCTTCCTCCCAACCTCCCCAGCTCCATCCCAGTGGCTCTGCTCCTCCTGCTCCCCTGTCTGGTCCCCAGCACCCCCGACCCCAGGGGCCCCACCCCCATCCCTTCCAGAGTCCTGACCTGGGGCTGATCACATCGGGGGCACCCTGGAAGCTTTCCTGAAGCTTGCTCTCCAGCCCGACGCCCACCTTGACCAAGTAGGAGGCTGGGTCTACAATGCAGGCCCAGTAGCTACGGCCCTGGGTCACAGCCACATCGCCCAGGACCACATCCACGCTCAGGTGACAGCCGGTCAGCAGCCGCTCAGCAGCCAGCAGCAGGGGCAGCCCTGGAACGCTCCGCACGGCTCGCTGGTCCTTGCTGATGGCCAGCCGCTCACGGCTTGCGCCCCAGCGGCCATCCAGGAAAAAGTGTAGGACTGGAGCGGGATTAAGGTTAAGACAGAAGGAAGGATTTCAGGACAAACACTGGCACAGGGGACCATGAGGTGTTGGTTAGCACAAGACACTGGGAGATTTCAGAATATGGAACAAGTTGCCAAGGGGTGGGCAGGGGGCTCTGGGGAACAAGGACCAGAGAACTGGAGTGGGGGCACAAGGAAAAAAGAGGGGCATCCCAGATGGGCGTGGGACCGCAGGAAGGGTCTCAGTGATGACTAGTGGGCACAGAAACCAGTCCCCCAGACTTGCAATGTTTCCTTCAATCCCCTTTCCCCGGCTGGCCCCCCTTCCAGCCCACACTCTGGTGCTCACACCTGGCCCTTGCACCCCACCCTTACCTATTCTGCCTTTGTGGGTGGTGATGCTCCTTTATTATACCTACACCCCAGGTTCCACACTATTTTTTGGAAAGTCGCTTTCCTAACATTTATTGAGCCCTTGCTATGAGCCAGAAACTCTGCTAAGACTTTACACCTATCATCTCACTTAATTCTCACCACACCCTATGAAAGAAGCATTGCCATTATCCCTACAGAAGGGGAACTTGAAGTTCAAAAGGGTGAATGATTCGCCCAAAGCCACACAGCTGGCAAGATGCAGAGCTGGGATTTGAACCCGGGCACTCTAGCTCCAGAGCTGGTGAGTGTGACCCACTATGTGATACTATCTCTCCAGTGCCCATCTGGCACCAGCTATTAGTGCCTGGGTCCCAGCATGTCCTGTGCCCTTCCCAGGCCATGTTGTGCCCACCACCTGCCCACTCACCAGGTGCTGGAGGTGTGTGCAGATGCACGTCCTCACTATACTCGCCATAGCCGGCCTTGTTGCAGCCACGGACACGCAACACGTACACCGAGCCTGTGTCAGGGTTCTCAAGCAGGGCGCTGGTACCCCTCACTTCCTCCCGCCGCTGCCAGCGGGTGGGGCCTGGCTGGGCAGGCACATCTGTGCGCCGAAACTCAATGGTGTAGTGCCAGGCAGGTGGCGAGTGGGGGGGCAGCCGCCAGCACAGGAAGATCTGGTCGTAGGCAAAGGTGCGCTGGGTGTCAATGACGGGAGCCTCAGGCACTGTTGGAAGAGACAGTGGAGGGGTCAGTCAGGGCTTGGCGCCGGCCTGGCATGGAGGGCAGGCAGGACAAGGGAAAGCAGCGGGAGCCGGGGGGTGAGTGTGGGTGAGGGGGAACTGGGGAGAAGGCCCATCGATGCACAGGGCAGGGATGGGCAGGCCAGAGCCCAGGGCAGAAGGAGAGAGGCAGCAAGCCCTGCGCAGGGAGGCAAAAGGCCTCTGTGCAAAGCCGGGTCTGCCGCTCTCACTCTGGCCTCAGGTCGGTCACTTCCCCTTTCTGGGCCTCAACTGCATCCTCTGTCAGATGAGGCCATCAGACCAGGCAGGACCCTTCTTTCTATGACTCTTTTTATTCTATGAATAAAGAGGAGCCCCAGGGAAAGGCAGACAAAGGCCAATGGAACCCAGGCAAGAGGGCACTGAACAGGGAAGAGGGGCCAGAGCGGGAGGGAGACAGACTCGAGAGTCAGCAAGACAGGAGATGGGGGACAGGGGAGGGCAAGCAAAAGCTTTGCGGCAGGGACGAAAGTCACGGAGAAGAGAAGTCCAGAGGACAAGATCGCAAGGGCAAAAGCCCAGAGGGGCAAAGATGAGGCAAGAGCCTTAGAAAGGCAGAAGAGAGACAGAGGGTACTGGGTTGGGGGAGGATCGATAGTCTGGTTAAGGCAGGAAAGAAAGGCAGCAATGAATGGGTGGCTAGGCTGCATGGCGGCAGCAGGGTGGTACAGGGCAGGAGGCCTGGGGGGCAGGGCCCGGGAGCAGGGCCGCTGACTTGCCTGGGGTGCTCCGGAGCAGAGTCCGCGATGGCCACAGCCTACAAACAAAGAGAGGGAGAAGCGGGGCTGAGCGCATGGGATGGTGTGGCCGGGTGGGCAGGTGGGAGGGGTGGCTGGCCAGGCCGAACAGGAGGCTGGGGAGGTCCCCAGTGGGCACTGCCCCCCGGGCCCGCTGCTGGGGAAGAAGGGAGGAAGGCTCTGATGGGGCATGGGGCCTGGCCACCTCCTTACCTCGCAAGAAGTTCAGCTCTGTCAGCAGCTTCATTTCACGCCCTACGTCCAGCTGGCAATGGCGGAAGGAGGAGCTGGCAGCCGGCCGGTAGGTCTGGAGGGCCTCTGTGGCTCGGGCAATCCTGGGATGGGGGCAGGCGAGGGTCAGGCACTGCCGTCTGGGCAGCCGCCCTTCCCCTTGATTCTGCCTTGCCCGCCCCTGAAGCTTTGGCATCTGCCTTGGGTCTTCTCCTTGTGCCCTCAGCAAGCTACGTATGAGTTTGGCCTGGTGAAAATTCCCAGGGCCCAGCTCTCCAGCAGGCAGCATTCTGGACATTGTCTTAGACATTGGCTACACCCACGATGCCCCTGCCCCGAGGAGCCATGCCCCTTTGCCATGCCCCTGGTACCTGTTGTGCAGCTGCTTGGCTGCTTGCACAAAGCAAGGCTGGTCTGTTTCCTTAAGAACCTCCTGGGCATAGCCCACTAGCCCTGAGCCATCCAGCAGGCTCCGGTGCTCCTGGATCTGGGCGCTGAGATGGGCCAGCCGCTCCTGCTGGCATTCCTCAATGGCCTGAAGCAGCGATGCCCGCTTCTCCTCCAGCAGAGCCCCCAGCCCCCGCACCAGCTGGGACACTTCCTCCTTGGCCTGCTGACCACTCACCTGCCCAGAGACCAACACTTATTATCTTCTTCTTGAAGGCAGCACCTGTGCCAGCCTCCTGGGGCACCACATCATGGCTAGGAACACAAAGGATCTGGGGAAATCCTACCCACCATTCCACTAGGGCCAGGCTCCTGGCTCCAAAGGCCCCTGTACACCTTAATGGGCTCAACTTCTGACCATCCAAGTTAACCTTCCTGGATGCCCACACCCTAATCCTGACCCTTTAAGGACTCCCCAGAGAGGCCCTGAAGGCCCTTAATGTCCATTTGGACTGTGCTAACATCTACCAGCACCTATGCCATCCGAATTGCCCATCCCATGTCCACTGACTCAAGTAATCTGGCAGATGGTATCAGAGCTTACCCTAGCTCCAGGGATATGTGCCCATCTTTAGCAGGAAGCTGAGCCTAAGGGCATCTGAGCTATATTCCTGGGGCTTTTCAAGCTCTTCCTGTTCTGGGCAAAGCCACCCTATCCTCACTGTAGCCCCAGGTACAGCCTGACATGGTCCACTGACGTTCCTGCCAACCTGGTTTAACCAGAACCTCGGCACATCCATGGGCCCACATGGACTTCCTGCACTTACACCCAGGTGACTGGGCCATGCCCATCCAACACTCTTCCGGCTTCCACCCCCAGGCAGGGCCCAGGGCCCACCTCCGTGTCCTTCCTCACCTCAGTGTGCCTTACGGTCTCCTCAAGCTCACAGATCTGGGTCTGTACTGTGTCCTGGTTTCCCAGGATGTATGTCAGGCTCTTTGTCAGTTTGTCCTGAGGAGAAGAAAGAGGTGGGCATCACGCCCAGCTCAGCAGATGCCAGCAGTTCAGAGGAGGTGCGAGAGGGTGTGAGTATGAGTTAGCCCTGGGGGCGAGTGAGGCAGGGTCCTCACCTTGAGGGCCTGGTAGGCGCTGAGCACAGGTGTGATCTTGTGCCCGCTGTGGGTGCGCCTCACTCGGCAGAGTTGGCATACCAGCCGTTGGCATGTCTTGCAATAGTGGGACACCTCCTCCTTGTGGTCTGGGCACATGAGGCCCTAGGGACAGAAAGAGCAGTGACACAGTCAGCCAACGGTGCGTGTAAGGGTGCTGACCTACCAGAGGGGCAGTTTGGGGCCCTCCCTCCATGGGCCCTGTGGGAGGAGGTCAGCTGGTGTGCTCCACAGTGCCACCTGGTGGTACACACCGGCGTCAAAGGGGGCCTTTCCTGCACCCTCCAGGCATCAGCATTGCTTTCATCTATCTTAAGATGTGTGGTAACAACAATAATGATGATAATCCTAGCCTTGTGGTTAATAGTTAACGTCCATCTTGTTCACTTCCGTATCCCTAATGCCTAGAATAGCACCAGGCCCAAAGGTGCTCGATAAATATTTGTTCAACGAATGAACGCATAAGACATTTTTAGTATACAGGTAACTTTCACAAACATTGTTTCCTGTGATGTGCTCAACCCTGTGGGTGTACGTACTGCAGGGCAGAAATTATTGCCCTCAATTAGCAGATGACGTGGAGACTCAAAGATGTTCAAAGATTTGTCCAGCGCCTTTTTTTGTTACCAAATAAGGAGCTTGGCAATGGCAAAAGCCCTGACCACCTCCTTTTGGAAGCCCACAATGCCAGGCAGGCACGCCCACTCCCCATCCAGCACTACATGCCCCTCTCTTCCCAAGCCCTGCAAGGACTGGCTCACCTTGGGGCGGAAGGAGAGGGTGGGTAAGGTGGGTTCATGCTGGGCCTTCTGGGTGCCCCAGGGGTGGAAGAGCTTGAAGCACTCGTTGCAGAAGGTAGCGCGGCACTCGGTGCAGCCCTTGGTGGCCTCTAGTGGTGGGGGCTTGCACAGCTGGCACAGGATGGCGCCACCCACACTCACACTCTGGCGATACCGCTCCACCACACGCTCCAGGGTCAGATTCCGGAACAGCCCTGCCAGGCCCCGTTCTCCCAGCTCCACATCACACTGGCAGGCTGGGCACGGGAACATGATCACCTGGGGGTGCAGAGTGCCTCGCTTCCGCCCAGGGTATGTCCCAAAGCCTGTGAATGGGCCGGGGAGGTAGGGAGGTGAAACTACAGCTGGTTCGGGGTGGGGGAAGTCTGTTAAGTTAAAAAAATTAATTTTTATTGTGCCAGAGCTCAGCTCTCACTAGAGCCTAAATGAGCATCATATCCACCCTCTGAAAAACAGATGCCCCTGACCAGCAGTGGAACTCTTCCATCTTTCTGATGGACAGCCCAGCATCCCCACCCAACGCCACAGGCCCCAGGCCCCAGCCCCACCTGACTTAAGCAGCCGGTCCAAGCGGTCTGGTTTGGGGAGAGTTCTGCGGGAGAGGCGGGGACTTCGGGTGGAAGGGGTGGAGGCAGGAGAGGTGGGTTCCGAGCTGGGGTCCCCACCATGGCCTACATAGCCCTGCTGGCCCAGCACCTCGCGGGCACAGGCCTGGCACACGTTGTGGGTACAGGGCAGCACTAATGGCTGCTTGTACGTCTCTTGACACACTGGGCACAGCAGTTCCTTCTCCATGTTCTTCATGCTTGTCTGCGGAGGGACCAGGACGTTGGGTCAGAGATTGGACACCTGAGCATATCTCCACAGGCCCCTCAGAAGCTCTTAGAGAACCAAGGGATCTTTGGAAGGGGCAAGACAAGCTCCTTATGGCTTTTCCCCAACGTCAGTCTCAGCATGGTTCACAGACCTTCCCAGCTCTGTCCCTTGCCTCTGTTTCCCTCCTGCAGAGCTAAGGGACTAAGGCAGAGGGCTGGCTGGCACTCCCGGTTGGCGCTCACGCCTCCCCCAGCCTCAAGCCCCACCCTGCTCTCCCTGCCCCAGGCCGGCCTGCAGGCCCACCCACCTGGCCATTATCCCCATCCCCCCATCTCTGGGCCTCCTGCCCCTGGCACTTCTCTCAAGGACACCGCCCATTCTGCAACTCGGTGCGGACCCTCGCCCCCTTCTCTGGCATCCCACCCCGCTCCCTCGCGGTACTCCTCCCTATAGCCGGGCACCGCCGACTGTCCATCCTCTAGCTCACCCGTCCTCCCTTACGCTCTGGCTCTGGCCTCGGTCGCCCCAGCCTCCATTCCCCATCCTTCACTTCCCCATCCGTCTCCTCCAGTTGCGCGATACTAACCCATTCCCTTTCGTCCCCCACCACCCAGCCCTCCCGCTCGCGCCCGGGCGGCAAACACCTTCTCCAAGCAAAGGGGGAAACTCACTATTTTTTGGAAAGTCGCTTTCCTAACATTTATTGAGCCCTTGCTATGAGCCAGAAACTCTGCTAAGACTTTACACCTATCATCTCACTTAATTCTCACCACACCCTATGAAAGAAGCATTGCCATTATCCCTACAGAAGGGGAACTTGAAGTTCAAAAGGGTGAATGATTCGCCCAAAGCCACACAGCTGGCAAGATGCAGAGCTGGGATTTGAACCCGGGCACTCTAGCTCCAGAGCTGGTGAGTGTGACCCACTATGTGATACTATCTCTCCAGTGCCCATCTGGCACCAGCTATTAGTGCCTGGGTCCCAGCATGTCCTGTGCCCTTCCCAGGCCATGTTGTGCCCACCACCTGCCCACTCACCAGGTGCTGGAGGTGTGTGCAGATGCACGTCCTCACTATACTCGCCATAGCCGGCCTTGTTGCAGCCACGGACACGCAACACGTACACCGAGCCTGTGTCAGGGTTCTCAAGCAGGGCGCTGGTACCCCTCACTTCCTCCCGCCGCTGCCAGCGGGTGGGGCCTGGCTGGGCAGGCACATCTGTGCGCCGAAACTCAATGGTGTAGTGCCAGGCAGGTGGCGAGTGGGGGGGCAGCCGCCAGCACAGGAAGATCTGGTCGTAGGCAAAGGTGCGCTGGGTGTCAATGACGGGAGCCTCAGGCACTGTTGGAAGAGACAGTGGAGGGGTCAGTCAGGGCTTGGCGCCGGCCTGGCATGGAGGGCAGGCAGGACAAGGGAAAGCAGCGGGAGCCGGGGGGTGAGTGTGGGTGAGGGGGAACTGGGGAGAAGGCCCATCGATGCACAGGGCAGGGATGGGCAGGCCAGAGCCCAGGGCAGAAGGAGAGAGGCAGCAAGCCCTGCGCAGGGAGGCAAAAGGCCTCTGTGCAAAGCCGGGTCTGCCGCTCTCACTCTGGCCTCAGGTCGGTCACTTCCCCTTTCTGGGCCTCAACTGCATCCTCTGTCAGATGAGGCCATCAGACCAGGCAGGACCCTTCTTTCTATGACTCTTTTTATTCTATGAATAAAGAGGAGCCCCAGGGAAAGGCAGACAAAGGCCAATGGAACCCAGGCAAGAGGGCACTGAACAGGGAAGAGGGGCCAGAGCGGGAGGGAGACAGACTCGAGAGTCAGCAAGACAGGAGATGGGGGACAGGGGAGGGCAAGCAAAAGCTTTGCGGCAGGGACGAAAGTCACGGAGAAGAGAAGTCCAGAGGACAAGATCGCAAGGGCAAAAGCCCAGAGGGGCAAAGATGAGGCAAGAGCCTTAGAAAGGCAGAAGAGAGACAGAGGGTACTGGGTTGGGGGAGGATCGATAGTCTGGTTAAGGCAGGAAAGAAAGGCAGCAATGAATGGGTGGCTAGGCTGCATGGCGGCAGCAGGGTGGTACAGGGCAGGAGGCCTGGGGGGCAGGGCCCGGGAGCAGGGCCGCTGACTTGCCTGGGGTGCTCCGGAGCAGAGTCCGCGATGGCCACAGCCTACAAACAAAGAGAGGGAGAAGCGGGGCTGAGCGCATGGGATGGTGTGGCCGGGTGGGCAGGTGGGAGGGGTGGCTGGCCAGGCCGAACAGGAGGCTGGGGAGGTCCCCAGTGGGCACTGCCCCCCGGGCCCGCTGCTGGGGAAGAAGGGAGGAAGGCTCTGATGGGGCATGGGGCCTGGCCACCTCCTTACCTCGCAAGAAGTTCAGCTCTGTCAGCAGCTTCATTTCACGCCCTACGTCCAGCTGGCAATGGCGGAAGGAGGAGCTGGCAGCCGGCCGGTAGGTCTGGAGGGCCTCTGTGGCTCGGGCAATCCTGGGATGGGGGCAGGCGAGGGTCAGGCACTGCCGTCTGGGCAGCCGCCCTTCCCCTTGATTCTGCCTTGCCCGCCCCTGAAGCTTTGGCATCTGCCTTGGGTCTTCTCCTTGTGCCCTCAGCAAGCTACGTATGAGTTTGGCCTGGTGAAAATTCCCAGGGCCCAGCTCTCCAGCAGGCAGCATTCTGGACATTGTCTTAGACATTGGCTACACCCACGATGCCCCTGCCCCGAGGAGCCATGCCCCTTTGCCATGCCCCTGGTACCTGTTGTGCAGCTGCTTGGCTGCTTGCACAAAGCAAGGCTGGTCTGTTTCCTTAAGAACCTCCTGGGCATAGCCCACTAGCCCTGAGCCATCCAGCAGGCTCCGGTGCTCCTGGATCTGGGCGCTGAGATGGGCCAGCCGCTCCTGCTGGCATTCCTCAATGGCCTGAAGCAGCGATGCCCGCTTCTCCTCCAGCAGAGCCCCCAGCCCCCGCACCAGCTGGGACACTTCCTCCTTGGCCTGCTGACCACTCACCTGCCCAGAGACCAACACTTATTATCTTCTTCTTGAAGGCAGCACCTGTGCCAGCCTCCTGGGGCACCACATCATGGCTAGGAACACAAAGGATCTGGGGAAATCCTACCCACCATTCCACTAGGGCCAGGCTCCTGGCTCCAAAGGCCCCTGTACACCTTAATGGGCTCAACTTCTGACCATCCAAGTTAACCTTCCTGGATGCCCACACCCTAATCCTGACCCTTTAAGGACTCCCCAGAGAGGCCCTGAAGGCCCTTAATGTCCATTTGGACTGTGCTAACATCTACCAGCACCTATGCCATCCGAATTGCCCATCCCATGTCCACTGACTCAAGTAATCTGGCAGATGGTATCAGAGCTTACCCTAGCTCCAGGGATATGTGCCCATCTTTAGCAGGAAGCTGAGCCTAAGGGCATCTGAGCTATATTCCTGGGGCTTTTCAAGCTCTTCCTGTTCTGGGCAAAGCCACCCTATCCTCACTGTAGCCCCAGGTACAGCCTGACATGGTCCACTGACGTTCCTGCCAACCTGGTTTAACCAGAACCTCGGCACATCCATGGGCCCACATGGACTTCCTGCACTTACACCCAGGTGACTGGGCCATGCCCATCCAACACTCTTCCGGCTTCCACCCCCAGGCAGGGCCCAGGGCCCACCTCCGTGTCCTTCCTCACCTCAGTGTGCCTTACGGTCTCCTCAAGCTCACAGATCTGGGTCTGTACTGTGTCCTGGTTTCCCAGGATGTATGTCAGGCTCTTTGTCAGTTTGTCCTGAGGAGAAGAAAGAGGTGGGCATCACGCCCAGCTCAGCAGATGCCAGCAGTTCAGAGGAGGTGCGAGAGGGTGTGAGTATGAGTTAGCCCTGGGGGCGAGTGAGGCAGGGTCCTCACCTTGAGGGCCTGGTAGGCGCTGAGCACAGGTGTGATCTTGTGCCCGCTGTGGGTGCGCCTCACTCGGCAGAGTTGGCATACCAGCCGTTGGCATGTCTTGCAATAGTGGGACACCTCCTCCTTGTGGTCTGGGCACATGAGGCCCTAGGGACAGAAAGAGCAGTGACACAGTCAGCCAACGGTGCGTGTAAGGGTGCTGACCTACCAGAGGGGCAGTTTGGGGCCCTCCCTCCATGGGCCCTGTGGGAGGAGGTCAGCTGGTGTGCTCCACAGTGCCACCTGGTGGTACACACCGGCGTCAAAGGGGGCCTTTCCTGCACCCTCCAGGCATCAGCATTGCTTTCATCTATCTTAAGATGTGTGGTAACAACAATAATGATGATAATCCTAGCCTTGTGGTTAATAGTTAACGTCCATCTTGTTCACTTCCGTATCCCTAATGCCTAGAATAGCACCAGGCCCAAAGGTGCTCGATAAATATTTGTTCAACGAATGAACGCATAAGACATTTTTAGTATACAGGTAACTTTCACAAACATTGTTTCCTGTGATGTGCTCAACCCTGTGGGTGTACGTACTGCAGGGCAGAAATTATTGCCCTCAATTAGCAGATGACGTGGAGACTCAAAGATGTTCAAAGATTTGTCCAGCGCCTTTTTTTGTTACCAAATAAGGAGCTTGGCAATGGCAAAAGCCCTGACCACCTCCTTTTGGAAGCCCACAATGCCAGGCAGGCACGCCCACTCCCCATCCAGCACTACATGCCCCTCTCTTCCCAAGCCCTGCAAGGACTGGCTCACCTTGGGGCGGAAGGAGAGGGTGGGTAAGGTGGGTTCATGCTGGGCCTTCTGGGTGCCCCAGGGGTGGAAGAGCTTGAAGCACTCGTTGCAGAAGGTAGCGCGGCACTCGGTGCAGCCCTTGGTGGCCTCTAGTGGTGGGGGCTTGCACAGCTGGCACAGGATGGCGCCACCCACACTCACACTCTGGCGATACCGCTCCACCACACGCTCCAGGGTCAGATTCCGGAACAGCCCTGCCAGGCCCCGTTCTCCCAGCTCCACATCACACTGGCAGGCTGGGCACGGGAACATGATCACCTGGGGGTGCAGAGTGCCTCGCTTCCGCCCAGGGTATGTCCCAAAGCCTGTGAATGGGCCGGGGAGGTAGGGAGGTGAAACTACAGCTGGTTCGGGGTGGGGGAAGTCTGTTAAGTTAAAAAAATTAATTTTTATTGTGCCAGAGCTCAGCTCTCACTAGAGCCTAAATGAGCATCATATCCACCCTCTGAAAAACAGATGCCCCTGACCAGCAGTGGAACTCTTCCATCTTTCTGATGGACAGCCCAGCATCCCCACCCAACGCCACAGGCCCCAGGCCCCAGCCCCACCTGACTTAAGCAGCCGGTCCAAGCGGTCTGGTTTGGGGAGAGTTCTGCGGGAGAGGCGGGGACTTCGGGTGGAAGGGGTGGAGGCAGGAGAGGTGGGTTCCGAGCTGGGGTCCCCACCATGGCCTACATAGCCCTGCTGGCCCAGCACCTCGCGGGCACAGGCCTGGCACACGTTGTGGGTACAGGGCAGCACTAATGGCTGCTTGTACGTCTCTTGACACACTGGGCACAGCAGTTCCTTCTCCATGTTCTTCATGCTTGTCTGCGGAGGGACCAGGACGTTGGGTCAGAGATTGGACACCTGAGCATATCTCCACAGGCCCCTCAGAAGCTCTTAGAGAACCAAGGGATCTTTGGAAGGGGCAAGACAAGCTCCTTATGGCTTTTCCCCAACGTCAGTCTCAGCATGGTTCACAGACCTTCCCAGCTCTGTCCCTTGCCTCTGTTTCCCTCCTGCAGAGCTAAGGGACTAAGGCAGAGGGCTGGCTGGCACTCCCGGTTGGCGCTCACGCCTCCCCCAGCCTCAAGCCCCACCCTGCTCTCCCTGCCCCAGGCCGGCCTGCAGGCCCACCCACCTGGCCATTATCCCCATCCCCCCATCTCTGGGCCTCCTGCCCCTGGCACTTCTCTCAAGGACACCGCCCATTCTGCAACTCGGTGCGGACCCTCGCCCCCTTCTCTGGCATCCCACCCCGCTCCCTCGCGGTACTCCTCCCTATAGCCGGGCACCGCCGACTGTCCATCCTCTAGCTCACCAGTCCTCCCTTACGCTCTGGCTCTGGCCTCGGTCGCCCCAGCCTCCATTCCCCATCCTTCACTTCCCCATCCGTCTCCTCCAGTTGCGCGATACTAACCCATTCCCTTTCGTCCCCCACCACCCAGCCCTCCCGCTCGCGCCCGGGCGGCAAACACCTTCTCCAAGCAAAGGGGGAAACAAGCGCCCCGCCTACTTGCCCCCTCCCCACCGGAAGTACCCCCTCCCTTTTTTGGTAGCGGGGGGTCCTCAAGCTTTGCCCCACCCCCACACCTCACCTTGGTCCCCCTCTTCGCAGCCATCCCGGTCAGGGGCGCAGCTGACACAAAGGAGGGAGGGACAGGGAGCGAGGGGGAAGGAAGTGGTGGGGGGGAGCAGGGTTGGCACCGCCCATGGGAGAGCCGGGCACGGGTTGCCATGACAACTGCTGGCTCGGAGGCAGCCCAGAGTGGGGGTGTGGTGGGGTGGGGTCTCGCGGAGGGGTCCAAATTGGGAACTGCATCCTGGGTTGGCTCCGTCATCGCCCCCCATCTGTCCTCAGTTTTCTTGGAAAATATCCAAGCTCACACACACCCCTCCTCACAACATAGCCCCGTTGCCCTGCAGCCCCACTCCCGGTGCGCCGCTGGCGGCTGCCCCAGCCCACCCGCTGAACTCTGGCAGCTCCTGGTTCTACACACCCGAGCAGATGGACGCTCTCACGGCACTCACCTCCTGGCTGCCCCCGGAATTACCCTCTCAAACCTGCATCCCGACCTTCCCAATCTTTTCTGCCATCGCCAGCCCCCTGTCTACACCGCAGCGTCTTGCCGGATCTCCACCTGTTCAAGGTCCCGGTCTACCCCGGACCCCTATACTCCTCCTCCCCTTCCCCTCGACCCCACCTTAACTCACACTGATGCGGACCAGGGCATCCATGATGGAAGTGAAGGTTTGCATATCCTCACCCTCAGCCATGGCCCTACCATGCCCGCCCGCCCCCGGTGCCCGGTCCCGGTTGCGGCTGCGAACCCCGGGCTTAATGCTGGAGACGGGTGGGGCTGTGGGGAGGGGTAGGGTGACATGTCACTGCGCATGCTCCAGGGACTAGCCTCGCACAGCGCCAGTCGAGGTAGGAGGTGGGAAATAGTTCTTCCCACGTGGTTCTCAAAAGGCGGTGGTGGGCGATGGGGCGCGCGGGTTGAGTAATGTGGAGTGGTATTTGAGGGAGAGCCATTTATGCTCGCATTCCTCAGTGGCTCCTAATCTTGCTCAGAAAGCAGAAGAATAGGAGAAAAAAGGGCTCCAGGATGGGAGGAATAGATTTGGGTTTAGGCGAAAGTCCACGGACCTGCCGAGGCAATGATCATGGGGAATGGAGGTTTGGGGAACAGGCACTAGAGTGACATAAAATGAAAAGGAGACAGAGGTGGACTAGAGGCTATGGACCATTGGCCCAGCGACTTGAAGAGATAAGTGCAGCTGCCCTGGGAGGCAGCAGATGCTCGGGATGCTGGGGAGGGCGGCGGACCAGAGCGGCGGCCAAGAACGCTCTTGTACGCAGTATTTCCTCCCTGGCTTAAGAGGGCGCTGCGTCCATGTCCCGCGAGGAAGAGAGAAAGACGTGACCGGGAAGCAAGTCCACGTTGGGGGGTGACGCATGCGCACAACCAACAGCTCCCGGTTCGGCTTCTTTCTTGGCCAGAGGCGCCGATCGCACCTAAGGGCAGGGCATGATGGGTAATGCAACCAGCGGGATCCCCCGGACCGACTAGTCGGGGTCTGAGTTAGGTGGACTACTTCTCCCGGCCTTCTCCCTGCAGAGCTGACGTGTCTTTGGCTCTAGGGAGCAGGCATTTCCACGGGACGGGAGGTTTTGGGGAGTCCTGGGCTGAGGAATTCTTGGGTGTCTCCGCGGGGTGGAAATTGGGGAGTGTGGCTGCAGTCCCAGTAGCGCTTGGAAGCCGACCGGCCTCGAGCTCCGGGACCTGCCGAATCTGCCTGCGGCTCCTGAAGGGAGGGTCGGGCCTAACTCCTCTACTCTTATCCCCTTCAGTGGTGGCTACGGGCACCTCGCTGGCGCTCTCTTCCCTCCTGTCCCTGCTGCTCTTTGCTGGGATGCAGATGTACAGCCGCCAACTGGCCTCCACCGAGTGGCTCACCATCCAGGGGGGGCTGCTAGGCTCCGGCCTTTTCGTCTTCTCTCTCACTGTATCCTCCCTGCGGTGTAGGGGGGAGGGCCACGCAAGCTTGTGCTCTTCTCATTGCCCACACAGCTCTGCCCCCATTGCACACCTTACTCCTTAACCCCCTCAATCCAGGCCTTCAATAATCTGGAGAATCTTGTCTTTGGGAAAGGATTCCAAGCAAAGATCTTCCCTGAAAGTAAGTGAAAATTCGGGGTTGAGTATTTGAACCCTCTCCTCCAACCTCCCCCCAACATGGTGCTGAAATTCCAGGTGCTTAGATGGTAAAAGTTGTTTAGGAGAAGAAAGACGTTTGCTAGATTGTTTTCTGTTTGAAACAACCCTTGGATTGCTTGATGATTTAGTTATTTATGAAGAATTAAGTTCATAAAGCAAATTAGGTATCAAGGCTGAATATCCTAGGGAATGCCACATGCTCAGAATTGACAGCAGATGCCATCTTGTGTGCAGCCTTCATCTGGCAGAACAAAGACCCATCAGTTTTGCCCTCAGTTCTTAGCCCCTCCTTGGATCTTGCTGTCTCTGCCTAACCTTGTTGCAGGCTTCCAGAGGTCCTTCCATCCAGCAGTCCTGGACTTCTCTGTGTTATGTTGTGTTTCCATGTGCATTGTCTTTATTTGCTTCTGGAAGAAACCTTTGTTGTCTGGCAAGGTGCTTGGCCCTCTCTGCCTGCCTTGCCCTTCCCCATGTGGGCATGTGGGGTTTGCTTTCTGCCCTCCCACCTTCACTGCAGCTGTACTCTAAATACCCTGAGACCCATTTCCTGCCACTGTGCACCTGTATATCCAGACACTTTGCCCTTCAACTTGTGTCCAAGGAGTGAGGTCCTCAGCTTCTACCACTGGCCAGTTTAATGAATTGATCCCCATTGGCTGGCTTTTGTTGGAAAGACCTTGACCCAATAGGAACAAGCCTTGCCCTTTAGACTCTGCTGTCACTTTTCAGTTCCATTTTGCTGGAGGAAAGCCAGGATAGGCAAGTAACCGATACTTGGGGCACAGCTGGTAATGAGCATGCATCTTCTGTCATGGATGTCCTGGGCATCATGAAGGCTGTCTAAGATGCTCCTGCTGTTGTCATGCCATACCCCTCCAAGCAGGTTCCCTAAGATTCAGAGAGGCCCAGATTTCTCCTAGACACCACATGCCTGGCATGTCCATTCAGACCACCACCCTCTTGCCTCCCCAGTTCTCCTCTGCCTCCTGTTGGCTCTCTTTGCATCAGGCCTCATCCACCGAGTCTGTGTCACTACCTGGTAAGTGCCTGACAGCTGGGGAAAGGGTGCAGCATCTTGTCCTTTGGTACCGGATGCTGCTATGATGGTTCCAGACATCCCCCATACCTCTTTTTCCCTCTGTTCTCCCTCCTTTCCCCTTCTCCATTTTCCCAAATCTGAGTTTGGATTCTTTCCCTGATGCTGGTGTCTGCCCTAGGAGGCACCAGGCTGGCAGTATGCCCACTGATGCTGTGACCTTTATATCTGTGCCCTGTAGCTTCATCTTCTCCATGGTCGGCCTGTACTACATCAACAAAATCTCCTCCACTCTGTACCAGGTGACAGCTCCAGTCCTCACACCAGCCAAGGTCACGGGCAAGGGCAAGAAGAGAAATTGACCCTGTGTGTCCAATAAAGTTGATTCTTTGTAGCTCTGTGAGCTGTGATATGTTATGGGCCTCTCCTGCCAATGCCCACCTGGGTGTGCCCAGTGCTAGGGCAGATGGGCACCTGTTGTTCTCAGACCTTGGGGATGGTGGGGCTTTCCTTCCTCCAAGGTTCCTTTTTACCAGGTATTCATTGAGTGCTGTCAGGGCCAGGCATTTTGCCGCACACTGGAGTGGCATATACTTGTGTAAGAATCTCATCATGGAAGAAAAGTGTGTGAACGATCTGCAGTCTTGACCTTTGGGGAAAAAGCTAAAGGCAATACAGGAAGGCCTGGCCATTGGAACTGGAATAGATCTTGGAACAGAAGAGTAAAAGAAGTAAAGGCCCTTCACACCTACACCTCCCCATGGGGTGGAGTTCAGTTTACAGCCGTGGGGGCTTTGTTATTCCAGCAACAGCTCTCCAGCCTGAGCAAACACGCCTCTTGCCCCTTCTGCTCCAAGTTCCAGGGGGGATTTCTTCACTGCCCTTGCCCTCCTGGACCCATCTCTTCTACTCCAGCATGGACTTACACCTGTTAAGAAAGACTCCCAACGTTGATCACTGCCTCATCCTCTGTGTTCGGATGCCTTTCTTTTTCTCCCCTGTCTCACATCTAAGAGATTAGGAACATCTTAAGTTTTAGCAAAGTTCATAAAATGACAGGGACGAGGCCATCCACCTCTGAGCCAGCCTTGATAGAAATAAGGGATATGGCTTCTCAGGTCCTACTCTGCATTGCCTGCCAAGAGGAGTGCCTCTGTGTCCAGATTACCTGCCCTTTGGCGCACCTCGGCACCCTCCCTCCTGCTGGGTGTTGTGGGCTTTGGGGTGCACACAGTGCCCTGGTCAGTTTTGTATTCTCCACAGGGTCTAGTAATGGGCAATAGACTGGTGGGCTGGTTGAAGGATTCTGTCCTAGAAAAGAAAGTCCTGTACATAGGATGTGCTTTGGTTAGGGAAGATGATCCAGTGAAGATGCAGAAGTGAGTCAGAGGAGTTCTGGTCAAGGATGAGAGGTGTCTCCCTGATTAGAGGTCCACTCCACCTACTCCCCTTTGCTGCTGCTATCCCAGACCTTGCTCCTGTGTCCCCAGGCTGAGGGAGTGCTGTGCAGTTTATCCGGGATGCCTGCAGGGGGCGCCATGAGCTCATGTCTCCCAGACACAAGCAGCACTCTCATGAAGGCCTGCCCTGAGGGTCAGGGGATGTGGCACTGGGGTCTTGGGGTTCTTGCTGAGTCCCTTTGTGGAAGCCAGTGTTCCGGGAGGGCCCAAGTAACTGGCTCACTTGGGAGAACTGAAGCCTGAATCACCTCTCCTTGCTTCCCTGGGCTGTGAGTAGGGGCAAAGAGAGTTTATTGGGGACCAGAGCCTCCCTGAGTGAGAACCGCAGATCTAGGCTCCAGCTTACCCACTGTTGGTTGTGGTGTGTGAGACCCTCTGGGGCAAGAGAGGTTGTCTAAAATGGGCCCTGTACCTGCTGGGAGGCTGGGTTTGCTCTAGGTCTGTGTCAAACCTTGACTTTCTCCTGACCTGGGATGGGAGCAGTGGGTGGAGGGTCAGGTCCTAACCCAGGAGAGCAGAGACACAGCCAGGGGTCTGGTCACCTGAAGGCACCACGCCTTCCAAGATAAGTGATTGGGTGGGGCCAGATTAGGGGAAGGTGAGGAGCAGTCAGAGAGCAGGGGCCAGGGCAATACCCAGGGATCTGGGCACCTGCTGCCACCCACTGTGAAGGCACCAGGGACAGCATGTGGCCCAGGAATAGTGATCTCTTCCTCAGGAATGGGAATGAGTGTATTTGCATTTACAAGGCAGGTTGGCGCCGACCTGATCTCTGGGGTGCCTAGTTGCAGGCTGCCTGCGCCTGACCTACCAATTAACCCTGGCAGGGGTATCCCAGCCACCTAATCACCATCATTAAGTGACGGGGCGTGAGGCCATCATGGCTTCTGGAGGCCTGAAGGTGAGAAGGGCAAAGGTGCCAACCTCTTGGCCCCTGGACTCCTGGGGCTCTGCTCCACCCCGGAGGCTGGAGGCCTGGGGGAGAGAGGGGCCTTCCCGCCCCTGGAGTGCAGAGGGAAGCCAGATGTTTCCTCCTGCTCCCTCACACGTGGCCCCGACACCCGCAGGCACCCGCCACCAGCTCCGGAAATAGGAGTAAATAATACGGGTGGTGGTGGGGGGCCTTGGATGCAAGAGGGGAGGCTGGTGGGGGAGGGTACACTTGCAGGCTCCTGGCCCTGGAGGCATGCTCCTTGGGGCAAAGGTGATGACCCCCCAAAAAGAGGGTGGTGGGAAGGTGAGACATGGGGACTCCCCGGCCCTGGCAGAGGCTGGGTTCCCTTCACACTGGCAGTGGCAGGAGGGGATGCCTGGCATTTAGGGCATGCCAGAGGGTCAGATCGGGGGTGGGGGCGCCCAGGGCAGGCAGGGAGGGGGAGTCCGCGCCAGACCTTGGCTCCAGCCCTTTCCGGCCCTTATTGTCGTTGGTGAGAACAGGACGCTGTCCCGTTCCCACTGCCCGGCCCCCCCAGCTCTGCTCCCCAGGGGCTCGGGAAGGATGTCGGGGAAACAAGAGAGAGCCAGAGACGCGTGGAGACAGAGATGCAGAGACACAGAGACAGATACAAAGGGGAAAGGTTCAGTCAAAAGCGAGCATTGAAGCTCATTGTGAGCTGAACCAGCCCTGGGCGCTGTGGGAACCACAAAATAATGGGAAGCTGGAGGCCCTGCCCTCGGGGATCTCCGGGCCGGCCTGCCCTGTGCACACTCTTCCTTGACTTGGGGGTCACTCACAGAGCCAGCTCCTAAGCAAACAATGGCTGGAACCCTTGTGCTGTCACAGTTGGTGGTGCTTAATGGCTTACTTAAGGCACATTTCTTTGCCTCCTTCCCAGTTGACTGGAAGGTCCTCAGGGGGCAGGGCTGAGATCAGGCTCCCAAATCCCACCCCCTACCCACACCTGAGAGCTCATCTCACCCCTGCCTCAGAGACTGTGGACTTGGGGTGGGCATCCTTCCTCCCATCCGCTTCTACCTGGGCCCACAGTTGTCAACAACTGCTTCCCTGGGAGACTCGTCCTCTGAAGGATGAACAGAGGTCCAGTCACATCCCTCCTATCTAGTGAGGCTCCAGGTGCACTTCAAAAAGAAGAAAAACTGAGGTATGTTTGGAAAGTTTATATTTAACAAATCAATACTTTTAACACAAAATCACAAATAATATAATCATGCGATTGCAGGATCATTACAGGATTTTTAGATATTTTTTCCTTTACAGGAAAACTTTCTTCTGCAGGCCCTATTTTATAATGTAAAGTTCTATGATAATGGGCATGTCATATTCATTGTACGATTCTTTCTACTTTTATATATATTTGAAAATTCCATAATAAAAGGTAAATCACTTGTATGGTAAATCCCTTCTTTCCATCCTGTCCTAGAGTAACAGTGTGACTGTGGGTAACCACATGTGGTGATAACATCAGAAGTCTAAATTTGAGGCCCTGTGTGACGACAGGCCTGAGCCAAATGGCCCCTGTGCCTGTGAAGAGCCCCTTCTCTGAGACCTCCTTTCTCTCTAATGAGCTCAAAGAGCAGGGGAGGCTTCCAGTACCAATCCGAGGCTGAGGCTGCCCTTATCAAGATGGACCGAAGGAGAAACCTTCCACATACCCCCGTTTCTGGGCCAAAGTTGCCATGAGGGCTGGCCTGGGATGCTTCAAGGGAATTTCTGGGGCTGAGGTATGTGAAGATCTAGGTGGAACCCTAGGGAAACCCTCCCCTTTCTGCTCTCAGCCTCCAGCGCCATTTTCAGCTTCTGTGACTTGGGCCTTTATCTGACTCAGTTTCAGGTTTTAGACACTATGTGGGACAGTAGGAAAGAGCCCGGATCTTGAAATCAGACAGACTTGAGTTCCAGTTTTGGCCCTGACACTTAACAGGAGAGGATCCTTGGGTGAGTGGAGTGACCTCTCTGCACCTGAAAGTCCTCAGCTGTAAAATGGGGATAATAATTCCTTCCTCAAATTGGGGCGGAGAAGATCTGAATTAAATAACAAAATGGAAGAGCCTGACCTACTAGGCATTTGAGAAATGTTATTTTTTTTCCTTTTGTGATGACAACATTTAATTGAACATTCACCGCTTGCCAGTCAATGTATTTAGTGCTTTACAGATATTCTGGATTCCAACCCTCACATCCACTTTACGAGACTAACCTTTTTACTCTGTGTGATGTATCAAGTCGGCTGGGCCATGGTGCCCAGGTATTTGGTCAGACATTATTTTGGATGTTTCTGTGAGGGAGTTTTTAAATGAGATTTGTATTTGAAAGAGGAGTAAAGCAGATTGCTCTCTGTAATGTGGGTGGGCCTCATCCTGTCCATTGAAGGCCTACATTGAACAGAAGACTGACCTCCTCCTCAGAGGAGGAAATTGAGCAGCAGACAGCCTTCAGGCTTGAACCAAAGCGCTCATTCTTTCCTGGGTCTTCAGCCTGCTGTGGCTCCCTGGCTGTGTGTATGCTCCCCTGGGCTTGGACCCATGCTTTTACCCCGGGTCAGGAGGNACACACACACACACACACACACACACACACATCTTATTGGTTCTGTTCCTCTGGAGAACCCTTAGTAATACACTCATTTTAGTGAAATGAAATGGGATCAAATGGAAGGGAGGTTAAAATAACCTTGAGAGGGTAAGTGAGGGCTGGGCTGGAGCTGATGCCCAGATCCGCCGGCGCTGGCCATGCTGCCTAGCCAGTGTGGTCAGCACACACCTTTGGGCCCCCACCACCTCCCTGAGCTCATCTCCTGCCCTCTTCCTGCTCCTTACCCATCCCACCCCTGCCTCTGTGCGTCCCCTGCGCCAGGCACGCTTCCACCTCCCGGCCTTTGCACGTGCAGTCCCCAGTGCCCAGAGCACTTGCTCTGCTGATCTCTCCGCTTCTCCCTCCTTCACAGCATTCAGGTTTCCATGCAAGCATCTCCTT